TCTCTGTGCCTTGTTTTCCTCCTGAGGATAATAATGGTGTTTATTAAGTGAATTAATACAATAATACATTTTTTCCTTCTACATCATTTCCAAATGTTTATAGATTTTCTAGTTATTCTTTTATTATTGGTTTATAGCTTAATTCTACTGCATTCAGGCAACATGTGTTTTTCATTGTGATTTCATTGAATGTGGTGAGACTTGCTTTATGACCCATCTTAGGGTCCATATGTGTCAATCTAGCATGTGGACTTGAAGTGACTCTGTCTTCTGTAGTTGAGTACAGGTGATAGACTCTTGTCAATTAGGTCACGTTTGTTAATCATGTTGTTTACATCTTCAGTGTGAGAATTTTTTTGTCTGCTTCTATCTATTTCTCAAGTTTTGCCTATTAGATCTATCAATATTTATGCATACTGAGTCTATGTATACAAATTGAGAAGAGTTATTGAGTCTTGCATCATCATAAACTGTCCCTTTTCGTCTCCAATAATGTTTCTTGTCTAAAGTTGACTTTGTCTGACACAGCTTTCTTTCGGTTAATGTGTGTGTGGCGTATCTTTTTCCAACCTTTTACTTTAACCTCTGAGTTTCCTGTAAGAAACATAAGGTAGTATTGTTTTGTTAAATCCATTCTCATAATCTTTGTCTTTCCATTGGCATATTTATTTTATCTGATGTAATTATTGATATATTTATGTCGAAAGCTACCATCTTACTATTTTTTCTATTTGTGACAACTATTCTATTACTTTTTCTCTGCTTTATTGCTTTAATTTTGGATTAATCAGTATTTTTTATAATTCCATCACTCCCACCCACCCCTTTATGAAGCTGTTTATTCTACTCTTCTCATGGTGATTGCCATAAAGATTACAACATGCATCTATTAGATTTGCTAAAGTCTGATAGAAAATAGTACTTTTACCACTTCCAGAGGAAGCAAGAAACTTGAAACACGTTCCATTAACCCCACCTCCTACCTTTTGTGCTATCGTTGCTATGTTTTTAATGATACGTATGTATTTAAACCCCATCATTCTTATTATTTTACAATATCGATCTTTAGATTTACCTACGTAGCTGCCCCTTCAATACCCTTCATTCCTCCTGCTTCTTCATACTAACATCTAGGATTAGTTTTCCTTTGGCCTAAAGAACTTCCTTTAGTATTTTCATCTTGTGGATCCTCTGATAACAAATTTTCTCCACTTTCGTTTGTCCGAAATGTCCTTATTTTACCTTCATTCTCTCCAGCAGATACAGAATTCTAGGTTGACTCATATTTTTTGAATCCCTTTCTAAAATGCATTGTCATGATCTTCTTCATTTCCTCGTTTGAAGGTAATGCCCCTTTTATACCGTGGCTGCTTTTAAGATTTTCTCTTTGTCTTGGATTTTCTGCAGCTGCATTTTGATGTGCCCAGGTGTGGTTTCCTATGTAAACGATGCTGCTTGGAATGATAGCTTTCATCGATTTTGTATCATTCTAGGCCATTATCTCTTCAAATATTGCTTGCATACATTCTCTTTCTCCTCTCCTCTGAAATCCCAGTTATGTGGATGTTAGAGCTTTCTAACATGTAGAATGTAACTCTGTGCCCTAACTTCTAGAGTTTAGCCCCTGAGGGTCTTCCACCTGGAAGCCTCGGGCTGTTTAACGGGGAGGGGGTGGGGGCCGTCCTTCCTGGCAGACTCTGAACTCCAATTTTTGTCTCTTCAGTCCTGGCAGGCTGCTGACCGCTTTGCTTAATTAGCTTCTCAGCCTGTTGGCCTCTGCCTTGGAATTGGCAAGTGCCTGAGGGAGGCGGGGGAGCAGACACAGATGTCAGGCTCACCTCGCTCTCTGGATTCTTGGCTCTTGCATCCTTGCTGCCTCGATAGCTCTCCGGTGTCTTCCAATATATGCTTTTTGCATGTGTCTACCTTTCCAAGTTGTTCTTGGCGGGAAGGATTATCTAATACAAGCTAGTCTGCCAAGGCCAGAAACATGTGACAAAGAGATGGCTCCTCCCCCTACGGCTGAGGGTCTGGTAGAGCCTGAGATGACAACAGTGTAAAGCACAAGCGAATGCTATTTTTAAGGGAATCGGTTAAGACATTCAAAATTCCGATTAGGAGAATCTGGGACGGTTTCCTTGAAGAATGGGAAGGATTGGGATGTATGCTCTTTAGAAGAAAGGGGAGAGGTGGGAGTGAAGACGTGTTGATCTAAGTGGAAAACTTTAAACAAATATAGGCTGTATGATGGGATGGATCACACATGAAGGGCTGGAGTAAGGGCAGGGAGAGAAGTTTAGTTGGAACTGAAGCTAGGAAATACAGGTACGTGCCAAGTCGAAAGGTGTCCATGTCCCAAGTGGAATTTGGATATTTTTATATGTGATGGTGGATCGTTGAAGTTTTGGTAACTTGGAAGTGAGTAGTTCTGGCTTTGCCTGCATTAACTGCAGCTCTGCTGAAGTATTTAGCTGTCTCTGGTTCTTAATTTTCTCCCTTGTAGAATAAGAATCATAATCTCTATTTCTTCCACCCGTACCTCAAGGTTCTAGTGAGCCATAGATACGCTCATGGATGCAAATGTGTTTTCATAGGAACGAAGTACGGGCAGGACAGAGGATGCGATGATGCTCCCCTTCAGAGCCAGTGACTGGATTGCCATGCCATGGTCTGAAGGGGGCTATTTCAGGAACCTCCCATCTTCCTGGTCTTGTTTGAGGATGGCTGAATTTTTAGTGAAACTGGAGAGCCTTTTAAAGTCCTCCATTCTGACTGCCCCTGATCACTGTCATCTCTGTCCCAACATCCACCACAGGAGACTGGATACTGCCTGGCCATCCTGACAGATGTGAAACTGTCTTTCCAGTTTAGGTCATCCCTCCCGGGCAGCTCTGGGCAGCTGTCTGGTCCTTCCTTGATGGTGATGGGCCATGAAGTGAGGGATACGAGTAGCCTAACCCTCTGAACCTGGTTAAAATAAAATGTATTATGCCCCCTTTTAGCTTCCACCTACTGGTCCTGGTTTTGCTTTGGGGGGGCCCAAATCCCAAGTCTGTTTCCTTTTCCATGAGACAACCCTGCAGTCCCTTTAAGATAGTCTTTCTCTCTCCCTGAATTATGGAAGGACAAAAGCACATGAGCTTAATATTGACCTTTTGTTATATGACCTCACTCTGGCATTTTTAGAGGCAGGCTGCATCTAGGTACAGTGACTATGATCTTGAGAATTTAAGATTTTTACGTATCAAATGCTCCTGTAGTGCTTATTATGTGCCATTTATTCAATCTTCACAATTCTGTGAGCTAGATATGATTATTATCCCGATTTTACAGATAGAAAACTGAAGCACAGAGAAGTTAATTAAGTATTTTGCTCAAGGTCACACAGCTGGTGTCACAATAAGGATTCAGACCCAGATTATCTGGCTCCAGAGTCGGAGCTCTTCCCTGCTCTGCTATGCAGCCTTTTATTGCCTGATGACAGGCCACTCGACATCCCTTCTGTTTGCCAAAAAGCTTTATGCCTCCCCTTCGGGCAAAGAGCAGGCTGCTCTCAGGGACAGAAACTATGAAAAGGGATGCAATTGTCACCGGGGCATCCTGGCTTCCCCGAGAATGAGAGAGATGTCTGCGCACTGCCCTCTGAGGCTGCCGCTTGCAGAAGCCATAGTTCAGGTAAGGACGGGTCCTGCATATGAACTATTTAAGGAGTTTTTGCCACTGACCGCACTCAGCGCCTCAGCCGTCTTGTGGTCCAGAGTATAAGACAGAATGAGATCAAGGATGTGGGTGGGCAGTGTGCTGGTTTGTGTCTGAAGGCCCGGAGCCTGAAAACAGAGCCCCAGGAGGCTTCAGATATGCACAGCACAGAAAGAACAACAGCCCATGAGCAAGTAGAGGCAGGAACTCCAAGCCTCCTGGTATTATTCTCAGTACCTGGAAGAAATCCTTCCATCCAGGTCAGCTAACGTCCAGACGGGAGGGAAGACACCTAACATGAGAGTGCCAGAGAGTTCACACAGAGCTCATTCAGTGTAGCAGCTCCCAGCTCCGCATTTCAGTAGGGCCTCAGACCTTGGAACCAAATCACCTTCTCCTTCAAGAAACAGGTCCATGAACCTGTAATATTCTCTCTGGAGGAGCCAGAGAAGAAGTCCGGCCATTAAGAGGTTTGTGACCTACTTAGAAACATGGAAGTGTCTGGGAAGGGTAAGAAGAATGTCTAGATAATAAGCCCACTTTGGAAGCAGAGAACCTTGGAGGCCGGGTCAGTAAGACTGTTGCCTGAAGGAGGTGGGATTTGAGCTGGGCCCTGGAGGCTGAGAAGATGGAAGAGGTGGGGAGAAAGAGAAAAGAGTGCGCTGCGTAACCTCTGCTTACCCTTTCCACCTTGCGCCCTCCCTCTCCACCATCCCCTGTGCCCAGGAGGCCAACCCATATAGACTCCACCAACAGCCTTGGGTTTGCCCAGTAAGAGGCACCAGAAAGAGATTAGCAGACTGGAGGAGCCATTCATGACCCCTGCCTCTTGCTGTGGGTTGGCTTTGAGACCCTTGACTGAAGCCACAACTCCGAATAGGCAGCCCTCTCGGCTTAGCCACACCCTCCAGGGCTGGTGACCCCCCCCCCCCATGCCCCCCCCCCCCCCTTCAAGCCTGTCGGGTGGTGACAGCTTTCCTGTTCCTGTAAGGACGGCCTGGGGTATCTCCTTATCTCGGGGCCCTGTCTCTGTAGACAGTCTTTTAAGACATTCTCCTTAAATTAAGTCTCCGTGCGCTTTTTCCTGCCAGGAACCCTAATGAAAAAAAAGCATTTCAGAGATAAGGGAAGGTGGGTGGGAAAAAAGGTGGGAGAGCAGAGACCCGTCTGGCTGAAACCGAAGGTGGAAGGAAAGAGGATGTCGGGGTCTAGAATGTGAAGGGCTTTGAATACTGAGCAAAGGAGTATGAAATCCCTGGACGTTGTAGATATTTGGAACCTGCATCTCTCCTCTCTTCCAGGAGTCTCCGGCTTGTCGCTCCTCACGGCCCAGTGCCCCCTCCATCAGGTCCTCCAGCCAGAGGACAGGCATGGCGAGGCCGGGAGGCTCCTGCCTTTGCAGCTGTTTGGCTGTGCTCTGCCTCCTCCCCTCGCTGAGCCTGGCGCAGTACGAGAGCTGGCCCCACTACCCCGAGTACTTCCAGCAGCCGGCTCCCGAGTACCACCGGCCTCAGGTGCCCTCCGACGTCACCAAAATCCAGCTGCGCCTGGCGGGTCAGAAGAGGAAGCACAGCGAGGGGCGGGTGGAGGTGTACTACAACGGCGAGTGGGGCACCGTGTGCGACGACGACTTCTCCATCCACGCGGCGCACGTCGTCTGCCGGGAGCTGGGATACGTGGAGGCCAAGTCCTGGACCGCCAGCTCCTCCTATGGCAAGGGGGAAGGTAAAACGCTCTGTGCTTTGGGACTAGTGCTAGGGTCCCCTGGTAGTCCCCGGGACAGGCTTACGTGCGTTTAATCTGGTAAAAGAAGCTGTACTTACTGTCAAGAGTATTCCTGAAAATACTCTATCTGGGCGACTTCCTGTGTCTGTGTAAGAAGGTGGGAGCAAAGGGGTGCTAGGGAGGGGGACAGTGACCAACCGTCCTGCTTGGCCCGGACTTTCCTGGTTTTAAGACACAAAGTCCCGCACCGTGGGAAACACCTCATCCTGGGCAAACCGGCCCATTGGTGACTCCAGGCAGGGACTAAAGTCAGCCTGGGCTCATCTCCCCAAGCATGTGGCCCGCCTGGAGGCTGGACCAGCCAGGGGAGCTGGTGCCTGTCTCCCCATCGCTCTTCCAGGGTCTTCTTTTTGCTTCTTCTCACAAAGGCTGTGCAGGCCAGCGTACTCTCACCTCCACCCCCCACCCCCGCCTGCCCATGTACACGTCACACTTTCAACACTCACATGCTGTTTGGGCTTGGCCATGAGAGGAACAGAGCTGCTTTGGCTTTTTCACTTTGGTTGGCCTAGTCTTTCCTCCTGGGTTACATTCAAACAATATATTTAAAAAAAAAAAAAAATTCTTTTTTTTTTTGGTGAGAGCTCTGAGGGAAGGTAGATGTTTCAGCCCAGAACCTTGCACTTAGTCCTGGTGCTGACCTAACTAATTCTATGCTTTGGAGGAAGATGCTTATCCTCTTTGGCTTCAGTTTCCCAATTTGGAAGTTGGGCTCTCAAGAACTCTTGAAACTCTCATAGTCTATAGTCCTAAGTGGGATAGTAGATAAGGATGAAGAACATTACTTAAAAAAAAAAAAAAAAATCCAGGAGCTGAGCGTTCCCCTTCCTGGGTTGGTAAAGCAAAGGCCCTTCCTCCACCTGACTGAGCTGATGCTAGACAAAAACAGAGGTGCTCAAAGTCTCATCCTGGACTCATGGAGTAATGCCACGCTGGTGGCAAGAATCCTCTGGGGGGACGAACCCATGATATTCTAGATTAGGGTCTGGGCTGGAGTCTAGGGCTCTGTGACGTTTGGAAGCCTCACAAGTGATCGTATACATAGCCAGGGCTGGAATTCATTGAATTACATCATTGCTACTATGGTCCCTTTCAACCCTGGCTTTCCGTTACTCTACAAATTACAGGTGAAAGGAAATCCCACCTCTATATGTCTCACCTCCATGCGATTGAATATATCCTGTTGGAGTAACTACACTTGGAGTGAAATGTTCTTTCATGCTGACTCTGGGTTCCTTAGTGGGGAGGAGAGTAAAAGCAGCGAAGCTGAGTTAGCAAGTCCTGGGCTATTAAACCCATTTCCTGTCTTCTTTACAAAAATTCTGAACATTCCTCCATATTCACACATCTCCGTTTATTCTGCTAGCTGAACGATCCAGGGGTAACATCAAATTCATGTTTTCTATTCCAGGCTCTCTAAGCCTAATTATTTTATAGCAAGTACTTTCAAATGACTGTGGAGTTGTTCTAGTGGCAACTTCATTTCATTTCTACCCAAACTTAAAATTTACCTGTCATCAGATAAGATGGATGTGGTTTTTTCCCCCTCCCACATTTACCTGCCCAGGAGCAAACGTGGAGGTGGCTGGAGAGGGGGGTTAACCTGGCTCAGACTTTGCCACCCAAGGATTATGAAGAAAGAAAGGTTAAAGGGAGCACAGGAATATGCAAAGGAGCGATTAAAATCACGTTCCCTGGGAGGCGCTGCATGGAGGGGTTGATGGAATGTAGAAAGCTGGGATCAGTGGATCGGGGTCCTGTTGAGACTGCAGTACTAGAAGGAGGATTCTAGGAAGATGGGGTGGGGGACATGGGTGCAGGGCAGAAGGATTGAAATGGAGATTGGGGAGGGGTGTGGTTATTGGTCATGGCAAGGTCTAAGCTATGAATATGGGATGGCAGCAGACGTAGGGTGGAGGAGAGTCATCGGAGAGATGAGGTAGAGTGACTAAGACACCGAGAATACCGAAAGGGTCATCAGCGTGGGCATCGAAACCACCAAGGCTTAGGAAAGAAGTATCAAAGAGAGGAAGGGAAAAACAGATGCTCAAATAATTTTGAGTGTCATGTCTCCAGGACTTTAAGGATTGTGCTGTCTACATAAAATATTACTTGGTTTACATCGTGAGAGACTTTTAAATATAAAAGTATTTTAATTTCAAAAGTTTACAATTTTTAGCGCTGGGTACATGTTCGGCACTCAGTAAATATTAGCCGATTGATTCATTTTGATCTGGGAGAATATTAAGAACACTTGGCATAGTGACCAGAGAACGTGCCCAGGACCCCAGGGTATGCTCCCATTGACCGGTGAGTCATCTCTGTGGATGAGCCGGGAATGTGACAGCTGTGCCTGTCAGAGGCCACCCCTCCAGGAGTGCTCACTGTCACCTACTCCTGTCACATTCAGACTGTAGTAACAAAACCGGAAAGACCACCTAAACCCTCCAGTTTTTCCAGCCCGGCCTGCGAATGGGTCTCTTCTCCCAAATTGTCTCTGAGCTCAGGGAAATCACGGCCCCTTTAGATGGTTCTAAACGAGACAGGGGACAGCTGTCCCACTTCTCACCCTCTGCATGGGTCTCACAGCAACCTGAACCTAAGACGGTTGCTTTCCTTTGCCTGTCTTCCACTCTGAGATTAGATCTGATTCCCAGGGCACTCCCCACCCCGCCATTCCTCGGATCAGAGTGCCCGGCCAGAGATGAGCAAGTGGGCCCCCGAAGATTCTAACTTGAACAATTTCCATTGCCCTGACAGAGCCCAGGGGAACATTCTGGCATTCAAGTGGAAATTCATTTATGACCTTTATCTTCCAAATGGTCTGTTAATTTGTTTATACATCTCCCCTCCTTTTATCAGAAGCAT